CAGCTCATGCTCAAGTTCTGCACTTCGTTCTCGGCCTTTGGATCTCGTGCTTCAGCATCCCGCACCTCGGACTTCTGCATTTGAGCTCTGCAGCTCGTGGTTGAATTCTGCACTTCGCTCTCGGCCTTTGCAGGTCGTGCTTCAGCATCTCGCACTTCGTTCTCGACCTTTGGAGCTCGTGCTTCAGCATCCCGCACCTCGGACTTCTGCATTTGAGCTCTGCAGCTCGTGGTTGAATTCTGCACTTCGCTCTCGGCCTTTGCAGCTCGTGCTTCAGCATCTCGCACTTCGGACTTCTGCATTTGAGCTCTGCAGCTCGTGGTTGAATTCTGCACTTCGCTCTCGGCCTTTGCAGCTCGTGCTTCAGCATCTCGCACTTCGTTCTCGGCCTTTGGAGCTCGTGCTTCAGCATCTCGCACCTCGGACTTCTGCATTTGAGCTCTGCAGCTCCTCATTGTCGAGCTTGAGTAATGGAGGCCAGCCGTAGTCTGCTCGGCCATAGCTGCTTAGTCTTCTTCTGTTAGTGGAACCATAGGCTCTTGTTTCCTAGCAGCTGATTGGATTCTTACTTAAGTGACAATATTGCTAAGGTTTCTTCCCGAATTGCCTGAAAGTACTTACTTTCTAGCCAGCTACGTACCTTCAAAATCAATTTTCATTAATTACATATATGTGAAGTAGAAACCAAAATGCAAAGTTATAAAGGCAGAAAACCAATATCTAGAATCGAATCCTTTGGAAGGAGAACAGTAAAATCCAAAAAGCTAAAAAGAAAAAGAAAAAAGATTATGGAGAAATTAAAATCTGGGGGAAAGAAAAAAAAGACTTTTGAGTAGGTTTTTAGAGGGTTGCAAAAATGTAGTAGATCTTACTTCCTAAGATCTGGTGAAACTTGTGCAGATGGTTGCAGAAAATGAAAGAGATTTTATTAAAAAATGATGCAATCTTAGAAAATATGGAGTAATGGAGAAAAGAATGAAAGCAGTGAAAGTAGTGGACGCTGGAAAAACGGTTGTTTGTGCAGTGAAGTTAGGCAGTTGGTTTGCTGAGAAAGGTTGAATGGTGTTGGACTGCCTTGCTTCTGCCGAACTGGTGCACTGCTTTGAGCTTTGCCGCTGCCGAGCTGGACTGCTTTGTTGCTGCCGAGCTGGACCGTTTGGTTGCTGTCGAGCTAGGCTGTTGTGCTGCTGCCGGGCTGGTGCGCTGCTTTGGGCTTTGGCGCTGCCGAGCTGGACCGTTTGGTTGCTGC